GATCGGGCAGCTGCATGGATACCTTGTGAGGAGCATAAGCCTTTCTGGCTATGACTGGATTGCGCATTCATGCAAACTCTTGATGAGCGAGGATTTCAAGTTTGCTCGGGATTTCTTGTGTCCAGACATTGGTGAGTCGTGGGAAGTCAAATCGAGGGAGTACGTTGGAGCAGAGGGCGTCGCCAACCTTGTACGACGTGTGATCCTGGAGCTGCCGGTCCCGGGGAAGAAAGATGGAGTCTGGGGTCTGAGCAAGACAACGAAGCTGGTTCCGAAGGAGCTGGCGCTCTTCTGGTCCGGGCACTCGCCGAGGCATTTCCTTCCATCCTTGGCGGCAGCAATTGGGATCGACGAAAAGAAGCGCGACTTTCTCGGACGGTGGGCGGCTGCCCGGCAGGGGTCAACCGCTTATGTGCTGACGGCCAGACAAATTATTCAGCAAGTTCAGGCTGAGGTGTGCGAAACACGCTTGACTGGGAAGAACCAGCCCGGCTACATCGAGGAGGAGCTGCTTCTTCGCTTAAAGGCGTTTGCGGAGCAACATGGAGTTTCTAACGGGGCTGTTGCACGCCACAATGTCATGGTGTGGTGTGCACTCAACTTGTGCTGGAGTCTTCAAGGAAAGTTTCCGGCAATTGCAGTTGACCCCGGAAGCCATCAGCAAGCGGTGGCCGAGCCACCGAAGGACCAGCCGGCGCCTTCTCCGGAGGATGCAGATGCGCCATACTTTGTTGTTGTGAGTCGTAGTGGGCACAGACGTCTTCACATGTCACGCACTTGTGCTGTAAGGCAGGAGCGTTGCTTGGAGACCATTCCTTTGTACAGCATCACTCAGGATTCTGCAGATGCAATTTGTAAGTTATGCAGGCCCCGGCTAAAGGAGCAAGGGGCGGTCAGCAGTGAGTCCGCATCCTCAGATGCAGTGGAGCCGTGACACATGAGGGGTGTGAAAATTTCGTCGCATCAGGGGCTTGTCCCGTGAGTCGAAGCAGGAAGTACTTCGGTTGTGCCACGTCCCGTGAGTTTCAGATTGGGACATTGCATCAGATTGAGAAGAGCCGCAGTCACGTCAGTATCAGGTGCAGTGCTTTGACATGTCTTTCTTGTCTTAACGTTGTGCGAATAGAGGTGAGCCAATCAGACTCTTCAGACACAGTGGCATTCCTTCACACAGTGTGTTCGGTGGTAGCTTGCAGTGAGTTCCAGACATGGATTTGCCAGCTGGAGTGAGTGAGGAAGCGGCTTCGAAGTTCTTGTCCACTGAAGTCGATGCTGAACTTGCACACATCCTTCAGGAAGCTGGAGTCCCGCTTGGATTGCAGTACAAACTCACACAGTCTTTCAAGACTGTGAGGCGGTTTCAGTCTTATGAGGACACCCGTGCAGGGATACGAGATGCATTGAAGAACGATTTCGCTCTGGAGCCTACCACTCTTGATAAGCGCGCTGGGATCTCAGCTGTGATTAGTGCTTGGGAGGCATGTCAACAATTTGCCGCGAAAGAGCAGGAGCTTCGCGCGGAAGCGCGCGTGTTGGGGGTTTCAAGGCCCGTCACACAGACAGATCGGAGTGCGATGAGAGCCGCCTTCGAGGCGACCCACGGCAGGCTTGAAGATGCACATGAGCCTTCCGAGGATTACATCTCACGCAAGATGGAGGAGCTTGAGGCTCATGAGCCGACGGCCTCGCCGCTGTCCGAGGTTACATCACGCAAGACTGTGAAGACTCAGGGGATCCAGACTGCAGTCGATTCTTCAGGCCATGTTCGCATCGTGCGGACAAAGGTCAAGGGATCATTGCCTCAGGGCACTGAGGAATTGCGCACGGTGATGCGTGTTGAGTGCAACTTGTGGTGCTTCTTGGCGACCAAGTATCGCAACCGCGAGTCTTGCGAGGCATGGACCCCGAGTGCTGGAATCAGTATGTTGCTTTTCTGCTGTCTGACAAGGTTTACCTTATGAAGGTGCCGATGGCAGGGGGCAAGGGCAATCAGACCGAACATGTACCATTGCGGCCCCCTTGGTCAGTGTTGCTGAATTTCGAGTTTGAGTTGCGAAAGGAGGCAATCAAACGGGCTGTACAGGGCAATCGGCCTTTGAAGGATACACTCGTGGAGGTGACGTCCGATGCTCAGCTCAAGGAGCAGTATTTCACATCGCCCATTGCCCTTCAGCAGGTTGCACCTCCACCGCGGCCAGATCCTTTCTGGCCACAGCGACGGTTCCGACAGTGGGACAATGATTGGTCCGAGAGCCCGGCCAAGTGGCAGCGAACAGGCAAAGGACGTGGCCATGGAAAGGGCAAGAACGGCAAGGGGGGCAAGGCCAACCGCGATGAATCCAAGGGCGATGGCAAGGGCCTCGGCGGTGGCAAGGGCAAGAGTGATCATGCGCTCTGGACACACACGCCGGATGGACGTCAGATTTGTTTTCCATATAACGCTCAGGGTTGTGATGGCAGCTGCGGTCGAGTTCATGTATGTCGCGTCCGAGGGTGCATGCAGTCCCATCTGATGTGGCAGCATTTCCAGAGCTTGGCAGCAAAGGCGGCAGCACCGACCGGGGCGCAAGCCACCAACTGACGTTCCAAACTCACCGTGCTGTATCTTTTCGCTGGGCAGGCACGGGATGGAGATATCCGTTCACACTTACAGCAGCTCTGCACGTCGCGGGGACTGGATTTAATTTTGCATGAGTTTGATTTGCTGCGGGGTCCTGAACAGGACCTATCGTCGCACAGGCTTTGGGAGCGTCTTTTCAAGGACATTTCGTCTGGAACCTATGATATCCTTATTTTGAGCCCGCCTTGTTCCACTTTTTCGCGGGCTAGACATCGTTTTGCGGGGGCATTTGGCCCACGCCCACTTCGTTCACATGGCCATCTGCTGGGTTTTCCTTGGTTGCGTGATTCAGATCGCACAAAAGTTGAGCTGGCAAATTTCTTCGTGCAACAATCTTTTGAGGCCATCCGTTTACAGAGGCAGCAGGGCTTGTACTTCATTCTTGAGCACCCTGAGGATCTGGGCCGTGTGCCGTCTGGTGAGAGGCCTGCTTCCATTTGGTCCTTTGATGAGGTTCGTCAGATTTGCGCTGGAGGCGATGTCAGTTGCTGGGCATTGCATCAATGCCTTTTCGGGGCTATGTCTTGCAAACCCACTCGCTTGTTATCCAATCTGCCCGGAGCATTGAACTTTGGGATACAGATGCCATGTTTCAATGATGACGGGGACTACGTGGGGCCGCTCTTGCGCTGTCCGCATTCACATGCAGATCGAGCCTGCGGTTTTCAGGATGGCACTTGGAAATCGGCCGCCACGGCGGCTTACCCTTCGGAGTTCGCTGCTTTCTTCGCCCGTCTCTCTTTGAGTGTGATGCCTGAGCTGAGGGCCGTGGCTGACTCCGACCTGATCCCAGCCAACATCCCTTCATCCGCCGAAGCCTTTGCCACGGAGTGCATCGCACGCGGTTCTTTCGATCGTGCTTCAGTTCAGATTCTTTTCGACTTGCTTCCTAAGACTCGGCCTCATAAGATCACGGGCAGTGCAGAACCTGGCACCGCTTTCTTTGGAGGCACTGTGCACCAGGAGGGTCTCACCGCACCGCGGTCCACTTGTTTTACATTCCCCGAGTCCATGCGTGTGATCAATGCTTTTCTTCACTCCGTGGACCCGCACCACCGTTACGCTGCTTTTGTTCTCACAAAGAACGTGACTAGTGAGGTTCATCGTGATCCGCGAAATGCAGCTGTGCCCAACATGATTGTGGCAGTTTCCTCCTTTACTGATGGTGGCATTTGGATACAGGATGACTCAGGTACCCAGGTGCGATCCTTTCACGGCTCGCCCGTCACAGGCACTGTACACTCCTTACAAGACGGACCCGTCTACCTGGATGCCCGTGGATGTTTGCATGCTACCCAACCTTGGGTTGGGGATCGTCTCATCGCCATTGCATACACCCCTCAGAACATGCACCTGCTCTCTGTTGATGATTCGGCTTTTCTGGCTTCATTGGGCTTTCCTGTCTTGGATTCCTCTCCTGCGGGGGGGGAGGCACCAGCGGAATCCTTCGTTTCCTCAGACAACTTCACCTTGGCTGCAGCAGTGCCGGCGATAGACAACTCAGGCACTGGAGATGCTCAGGAGGTCGTGGTGATCGATCATGAGGAGTCGGCCAGGGAAGCTTTTGACCCCAAGACTAGTCGCGCTTTCGGGCAGCCCATGATCTGCAAGTTTGAAATGGGCAAGCAAGAGTTTGTGGATGGCTTCGGGTTGTGTTCGCCTGGCCGTTGGGCTCCCGAGGCGAGAGAGAAGTTGGCGTCGAGTGATGAGGTGGCACATGCAGAGGGAATTCGCGGATTGCTACGAGACTTTGTGATTGATCAGCTGAAAGACCCCAAGGACATGGCGTTCCGTCTCGCGACGGGCCATGTGAAGTATTCTCCTTTCGCGGAGGCTGCCTTGCAGAAGTTGAGGCAGAGGATCGTCGGGTTGATCCCAGGGGCGCCTTCAGACCTGCTGCGTGTTCCCGAGCGGCAGCCGTTCCACTTGTACATGCTGGCCGAGTCGCTGAGGCTACTTGGTGACCCCGACTGGGAGATTCTTGCCCTGCCGGGCTTGCCCGGCGGCGCTGTTTAGAGTAAACGTTTTGGGTGGGCGGGGCGGGGTGTCTCTGTGGGTAGGAGGAGTTCCCTCGACTGGACCAACTCGAAGATCTCCGCAGTTTCAAAGAGAAAAGTTTTATTGAGCAGTTTTGAGTTTCTATTTTATTTACGTATCGTGCGCTTTTCAGAATGGAGCCAGAAGCTGAGTGCGCGCACAATCTCAATGCTTATCATGGACGCAGAGCTCAGGCTCAGGAGCAGGGAAAATTTTGATTGTATGGGGCTAGCATTCACAAGCATCGTTGTGACGCATGACTGGACAGTTTAGCTTCACGGTAGCTCCATACTTTAGGACTACGAAAGCGGTAGAAGGGTGGCCCTGCGGCCCATGGTCGGCCATGAGTGGCACAGGACTCGGATGGCCCGCTTTAGTGCCACCATACCGCAACCGCCTTGAAGAGTGGTTTAGAACGCCTGAGAAATTGCATGCCTCATTCGACACGAGGGAAGAGCTTGTATCATTGCTTAGGGCTTGCGATAACACGCTTCTTGAAAGTAGCCTGCAGTTGATTGCGGATGCACTTCTTGAATGGCATGCAGACAATGCTCGCACAGTTGCGAGTGGGCGCAGGGAATCAAGGAGGCGCTTGACAGAGTGCTTGCCCAGTGTCCCGGGAACTGGCCTTAGCTTGCATGAGCATTACAATCAGATTGCACTTCAGAGTCCACTTGCGTTGCTTCCGGTTCTTCGCAAGCGGAAGTTAGCTACTGATAGGGTCGTAGATCGCGGTGCCAGGGCCACTGAGGAGATACGGCTTCGGCAGGAGTATGCATTGCGTCTTGCAGCCATCATGCAGGAGGCGCAACTGCCGGTGTGCAAGGTGCTTGCAGGGGTCAGCAATGCCGAGGAAGCCTGGCCACGGCTGTTCGGGACCCGTCGATCCAAGACATTGAGAAATCGCTTTAGAGCTTGGGACAAGTTTCGGGAATGGTTGCTTTATAGCCGTGGCAGGAGCTATCCGGAAGGGGTAGCTGATGTGCTAGATTATGCCAATGAACGATTCCAGGAAGGATGTGGAAAGACAGTTCTCGAAAGCCTGCAAGCCTCTCTCAGTGTAATTGAAGGTGTAGGGCGCGTGCCGTCTACGCAGCAGATATCTCAGGATCCCACATGGCAGGCGCAGCTCAAAAGTTACACGGCCGATTTGGTTTCGGCGGCACCGCCGGAGCAGCCAGCCAGCATGCTCACTGTTGCTATCGTTCTTGCATGTGAGATCTTCGTTTGCACGCCCGGGGAGCCTAGTTACTTGAGAGCATTGGGCTTTGTCTGCTTATTGATGGTTTGGGGATCGCTTCGGGCTGATGATGTTCAGGGGCTCTTGCCGCAGACCATGCTTCTGGACGAGCGAGGGCTTAGCATTGATCTCGCGCGGTCCAAGACTACAGGGCCCGACAAAAGGACCCACACCGTCAAGGTCTTCGTGGAACGGAGTATCTCTCTGACAGGGCATGATTGGCTGAAGGTCGGATATGCACTTTGGAAGGATTTCGATTTTGAGAGGGATTATCTGGTTTTGAAGGCCAATGAAGGTTTCACGGAACCCCTGGAGAAGTCGGTGCCTTCCTCCACGGTGGCCCTTTACTTCCGCAAAGTTCTCAGTGAGTTGAAAACGCCCAAGCGTGAGGGGCGCACATGGAAGGCCAATGATCAGCGTCCGCTGCTCCCGGGATACACTTCCAGTCATTTTACGGGACATTCTGCGAGGAACTTCCTTAGCTCGGTCGGAGCGGCCATCGCTGTCGACCCCAGGGAGCTTGATTATCTGGGTCGCTGGAAGGTAGGTGGCGAAGGTTCTGCAACCTACATTCGCACTTCTAGGCAGGTTGTGCATCGTCTCCAGAGTCACATTGCTTGTTCCCTTGTCACCGGACAGCCAAAGCACTACATCGAGGTGGATTCCATCAAGGCTTTGACGGATTATGCAGCTAAGGCGGGGGAGAGCGAATCTCAGGTTCGTCGCCGTCACACCCTCCTCGAGGGATCCAAAGGCTTGGGCGGGTCGTGGCCAACTCTGGCATTGGAAGTGGGTGTTGCGGCACCACCTTCTCCAGTCGAGCAGGTTTCGATGCCAGGCAGCCGGGGGGATTACTTCATCGTTACCTCTCGCACCACAGGCCTGAGGCGTCTGCACATGTTGGGCTGCTATGTCAAGCCTGAGAATTGTTATGATGTGAAATTTGTCAGTCATGTCGGCGCGGAGGACGTCGATAACATTTGCAAAGATTGCAAAGCAAGAATGAAGGCTCAGGCCGGAGAGGAGGAATCAGACCCCTCCAGCAGTGACAGTGGGAGCGAGTCGATGTGAAGGCAAAAGATGCTTTCGACTGCTGTGGATAGGCTGTGCCCTGCAAGTCCTAGCCAGAAGTTGGCATGAGTTGCTTATGCAAGGGCGCCTTGAAGTAGATCCACGATAACAGTCCATGCTGACTTTTCTCAGGGCATCTTGAAGTTGTTTCGCGATAACAGTTCATGCTGATGAAGTGCACGTGCTGGCGCTGTTCAAGCAGGAGGAAGTCTCACTCGGCGCAGGCCGTGAGGTGCCGGCGGATTCCGCATCCTGTCACAGGCCTCAGGGCGACGGGTGGACACATCGCAGTGCAGCTAAAGGCCTCAGGGCGGCTAGCAATCCAAGTCCTACAGGGCCACAGGCCGGGGCGCGGCCTTCGCATCAGGAGTAGCGGGAGTTAGTTATTGTTGTCGCAATGGCCGCCACAGATGCCGAGAAGCGCGAGCTCATAACCAAAGCAGATAGCGATTTGCAGTTTGTGCTCGGAGAAGCTGGCTTGTCTCTGGATGCCCAGTATCGCATTGTGCAACGACACACAACACTTAGGCGATTCCAGGCAATCGCCGATTCCCGGCCGGAAGCTCGGGCTGCTGGGAAGGCGGACTTTGGTCTTGATGATGGGGCTGCTGATGGGCGACAACAAATCGCGGGGGTCGTCGCTGCATGGGAACTTGCACGCGACGTAATCAGCAAAGAGACGGAAACACGAGCAGAGGCGAAAGTGTTAGGCCAGCCGCGAATCTTGCAAGTCACAGAGAGGCAAGCAATGCTCAAGGCGGTAGCGGCCGTTCACGGGCAGCTGGGAGAGTCGGAGACTCCATCGTCTGAGTACCTCGCTCTCAAGTGCGAGGAGTGCGAAGCCAATGAGCCTCAGGCTTCAACCTTGGATGCCATAACTTCGAAGAAGAACACGCTCACCACGAGCATCCAGTCCAGCCTTGACGCTTCGGGGCGAATTCATATTACTCAGCACAAATCCAAGAGCGAGCTCCCGACTACTACAGAAGCTTATCGCAAGGTCCTTCGCGTGGAAGCTTTCACGTGGCTATGCATGGCATCCCGCTTTAAATCCAAGCAATGGCTTCAGGATCTTAAGCTGTCTGACTTCGACCACTTCGTGAACTACATCCTTGGCGAAAAGGTCGCTCAGCTCTCAGTGCCTACGTCTCATCAGCCAGCCGATGTGCCTTCACTTTCGCCACCTTGGGAAGTAGTCTTGGCCTATGAGCACCGGTTGCGCAAGGAGGCTTTCCGTCTGGTCAATGATCAGGGTTATACTCTGGCAGGCGCTCTGGCTTCAGTCATTTCTTCAGCGGAGCTTAAGGAGACCTACTTCACGACGCCGCTCGCCTTGTCCATCATTGAGCGACCACGCAAGTGGCACAAAGGCAAGGGCAAGGGCAAGGATGGCAAGGACGGAGGCAAGACAGGCAAGGGCGGCAAGGGCAAAGACTCCAAGGGGGGCAAGAACGGCAAAAGCCCCTCGGACCCGGCGCTTAAGGGCCTTCAGTTGGTTTGGCGCACGCCGGAGGGCCGCGACATTTGCTTTGCATTCAACTCGCAGGGCTGCACCAATCCTTCATGCGAACGCTTGCATGTGTGCCGGGTCAAGGGCTGTTATCAGCCCCACTCAGCGACCGAGCATAAGCTTAAGACCAGCAAGCCCAAGGAGTGACTATCGCATGATTCGGTTTCTACCATTGAAACATCAGACCACATCGCCTACCAGCCTCAGCTGTACAGTCCGAGCGGGCTTCGTGTGCTCTACATTTTCGCGGGGCCCCATCGCAAAGGTGATGTGGGCTCTTACCTTCAGTCACTGGGCAATGTCACTAATCTTCTTCAGTTCGATCTTCAGCGCTCCACGGAGCATGACTTGACTAAGGAAGGCTTGTGGCAGCACATCTTTCAATTGCTTGGCGAAGGGGATTGGATCCTCATTGCCTCTCCTCCTTGTGAGACATTTTCCAGAGTCCGGCATCGCCACCCCGGGCCAAAGCCACTACGTTCAGCATTTTATCCTAGAGGTTTTCCATGGTTAAGCAATTTGCACGCGCAGCAGGTGGAGCAGGCTAATTATTTTCTTGATCAGACCGTGACGGCATGTCAACTTGCATGGCAGTATGTTCTGGAGCACCCGGAGGATCTCGGCGCAACGCCGGATCACGAGTTACCGGCTTCCATCTGGCAGCTACCAGCTCTGCGTGAGCTCCAGGTTTCCACTCAGGCCATCACTTTTGCTTTCTTTCAATGCAGCTTTGAGGCTCCCACTTCCAAACCCACACGCCTTCTCACTAATCTACGGGCCTTTGTCGAGCAGCCTCCGCCTTTTGCTTCCTGGCCACGCTTCGACTCCAGTGATCGCTACGTGGGGCCGTTGCCGCCACGCTGCCCGCACGGGAAACATGACAAAGTACTTGCAGGCCGGGAAGGCTCCCGCTGGGCGACCGAGTCATCAGCAGCCTATCCTCCTCTGTTGTGTGAATGGCTTGCGCATGCTGTGCTTGCTTCCGCTTCGCAGGGGGGACTTGGGTCAGCGCCGCACAGCTCCGTTCCAGGTGAGGCAGGTCCAATGCAGGAATCCCACGAGGCGACGCAGGAGGTGCATCAGGATTTATGTGAAGTGCCGCAGGGGCTGCACCAGGTGGTTTCCGATAGGGTAGAGGCGGTTACTGATAGGGTAGAGGCGGTTGGCTTGATCGAGTCGGAAGCACCTCCTTCCACTTTGTTGCCGTCGCCAGACTCTTCGGGGCCAGACTCTTCGGGGCAACCGCAGCCGAAGGCAGCACCTAGGGGGGTTAAGAAACAAGTTGAAGCTGAGGAGTTCGCACGCATCATTTCTTCATCGAGAGCCCCGACTCGGGCCGAGGTCCATGCTCTCTTCAAACTGCTGCCGCATGAGACTCCGCCTAGGTCGGCGGTGTCCTCTAATTGGGTTCCTAGCAGCTTTTCGACAGGCTTGTACCGGAAGGGTGGAGGCCTGATCGGGCTCAGGTCCGCGTGCAAAGGCTTCCCGGCTTCCACAGAAGCTTTGGCATCCTTCGTGCGTAGCAACATGCCCGGGCACCCCTTTACCACGATTAGCCTTTACCTTAACACTGGCACCAAGCCCCACAAAGACTCCAGGAACGCACCTTTGCCCAATGGGATAATAGGGGTTACTGACTTCGTAGGAGGAGAGATCTGGGTCGAGGCCCAGGATGGGGAGTCTGTTCAGATTGTTGACGGTAAGCGCTTAAGTGGTCACCTTCTTCCGATCAGTGAGACACCCACCTACATACATGCCTACCGCGATCTTCACCTCACAATGCCCTGGAAAGGTAAGAGATTAGTCATCATAGCTTTCAGTGTATCGGAGCATACTCAGGCATGCGATGAGGATCTCGCGTTTCTTCGCGGGCATGGTTTCGTCCTTCCGGGCGAAGAGCACAGTGTTGATCTTGAGGCGGTCCAGTCAGATGATTCGGAGGTGCTGGAGGGGGGTGAGGTCGAAAGGCCGGAGCCCTTCAAGCATCAGGAGTGCCACAACATCGGGCTGCCTTTGAACCTCGAGTGGGATGGCAAAACTCAGCCGATCACGGATGGCTTTGGACTCTGCTCACCCACTAGATGGCCTCCGGAAGCCAGGGGGGCCTGCTGCCCAAGCAGGCTTTGGAGTTCGCCACTGCCATGCATCAAGTGCTTCGAGACTTTGTAGCGGACGTTGTGCCTGATATCAAGCGCACGGCGATGGAGCTTGCGCTAGGCCGCCTTAAGGAATCGCCTTTCACTCCCGAGATGTTAGGGGTCCTTAGGAAGGATTGGTTTAGTTGCATAGAGGTTGCTTCGGGAGGCAAGTGTACGGATCTTGATGTGGTGCCGAGTGGCCAGCCATTCTTCTTGCATGCTGTGTCTGCGACGGCTCGGCTGTTGCAGGACCCAGATTGGAAAGCCGTTTCTTGCCAGGAGGACTCCTATGTCAGCGGGGTCGCGATCGGTTATGACTGCCCCGCGCCTCACTTGCCACAGGTGTACGAGTACAAACACAAGTCCCGCAAGCTCGATGAATCGGATGCCGAGTGGCATCGCGAGAACTATTCGTCGGCAAACGAAACATCGGATCAGCTTGAGAAGAAGTTTGCAGAGGAAGAGGCTCTTGGTCGCATGGCGCCTTCCACGTTGCCGGTTCTTGAGCAAAAGTACGGGCGGGATAGGGTTAGGATAGCTTCTTTAGGTTCCTTGATTAAACCAGACGGTTCCGCTCGGCCATTACACGATGGCACCCACGGTGTGCATGTCAACAATGGTATTAGGCTACTTAATCAGCAATCCAATCCCGGACCCCAGGAGGTAGTTCACCTTGTGCGCAGCGCAAAGCAAAGTCAGGAGGCCACCTTTTGCCTCACCGGCGATGTGACGGCGGCTCACAGGTTGTTCCTTGTCAGAGAGGCCGACTGGCCTTTGTTGTGCTGTAAGGTGCGCAACGACACGCCGGTCGTTTGGTACAACAAAGTAGGAACGTTCGGTATATCATCATCCGCCTTCCTTTGGTCCAGATTGTTTGGGATCATCGGCCGCTGCACCGCGCGCTTTCTTTTGACATTGTGGTTCTATCACCTCGTCTTCGTAGATGATGTTCACGCCAACTTCGCAGGAAGGGAGAAATTTCATCATTTGCTCATGTGGCTAGCATGCTTCGAGATGTTTGGCACACCTTTCGCATACAAGAAGTTCCGCGGTGGGCTCACTTCGGCTTTTGTGGGTTACGAACTTTCTTATCCAGACCAGAGGGTCGGAATTTCCGAATCGCGGGGCCAGTGGCTCTTGAAATGGATCGCTGAGGCTCGGTCCTCGAAGTTTGTTGTTTCGGTTCGCAGGTTTGCTGAGTTCTTAGGGAGGCTGGGCTTCGTCGCTCGGCTTTTGGTTTGGCTTAAGGCACACCTTGCACCGCTTTACAGCTGGAGGGCAGCGGTGAACGACAGTTCAGTCGCTCGGATGCCCGACACCGTCATCCTTACTCTTGAATATCTTGACCTCACGTTCAGGGACATGACGTTCAAGGTCGCCGCAGCAAGATCGGTCAAAAGAGAAGGCGTGGCCTTCCGCACTGATGCAAAGTGCGCGGACGGGTACGTGGTCCTTGGGGGTTGGGATTGCGCAGGCACAACTCAGGAGTCCAGATGGTTCTCACTTCGACTTACTCCCTCAGAGGCCCCTTACCTCTTCGACTCAGAAGGTCACAGTCAGTGGGCTTCGGCATCGGCTGAATTGCTGGCCACGCTGGCTGCACTGCACATCTTCGGTCACCTTGAAGCCGGGCCAACTAGGCGTTTGATGAAGGTTGAGGTTCTAGCTCAGACGGATAATAAGTCTAACGAGGGCTTGACTCGCAAGGGTTCTACAACGCGCTGGCCCTTGCTCATGGTTAACATGCAGCTCACCCATGTTCTCATGAAGGCCGGCTTGCGGTTGAACTTGGGATGGCGTCCACGGGACGAAAATCAGGAGGCCGATGATTTAACCAACGAAATCTTCGACCGTTTCTCTGAGGAGTTGCGGGTCCCAGTGCAGTACTCCGAATTGCCGCTTTCCTTTCTTCACACTCTTTACGAAGCCAGGCGTTCACAGCTGAGCAGCCGTGAAGTGGATTCCATCCGCGACACGGTCGGTGGCAGGCCACGCTTCAGAGGCAAGAGAAAGAGAGAGAAGTCTCCTTGGTGACGTGCCGGCCTGCGGAAGGGGGGGCACAGGCACACAGGTGCGCCTTCCCGACACGTCAAAGACCTGTTCAAGAATTAGATGCCTGCGTGAGCCTGCCGCCATCCGTTTGAAAACATCCTGCGTGCTCCTTTCGGCAGTTGCTATCTCTTTAGATATTCATCATTAAGTGGCGAGGATACATTTGATTGGAGTCCCAAGAGGCGAAAGCAAGATATGAGAATTTATACCCCATATATTCTCTGGGGATACCGTCGGTGCATTTATACCTTCGCCGATATTTCCGTTTGCCCAATATATCTTCTGGGCAATAAAATTTCTGATGAGGGAACTGAGTTTTGTAAACTTCGCTCACAGCGCCCTTCCTAAACACAACGGTTGCGGAGAACAGGCGTTTTGGCTTGCAGTTAGCTCCAAGCGCTCCAAAACGGGCAACGGCGGGGTAGCGCCGGCTAAAACTGCTGTGCGTGGGAGGGGGCAGGCAATGGCTCCTTCCTCTGGTGGCATGGCCACCTTTTCTTCAGATATGCGAAGGCGACTTAGAGCTATGACAGCTCAACTACATAAGGACGACAACGACGGCTTGAGTCTACCCCTCAGGCCTTGGGCTCGCGGGCCCTTAGCACCATGGAGCTGGTCTGGCCAGCAAGGCGAAGCTTCCCCTCTGGAGGCAAGGCACAAATTTTGGAAACAATGCTGCTTGGGAAGCAGCAACTGGGGTGCATCCGGGGCGCCAGGGGGCGCTAGAGATGCAAAAGTGGCGAGGGCCATGGGTCTTCTTGTGAATTTCATTGTGGAGAAGCGACAGGCCTACCTCCTTGGTGCGAGGCAGGTTTGGCAAAAGATGCTCGCCATCGGCATTGGACCAAGCATGCTGTGGTCTCCTGTGGGCGAGTTTGGCATCCTGCCTTTGGAAGGTGAGCTCTGGCCAACGGCTGCCTTTTGCAACACCGAGGCCAACAGAGCTTGTGACAGTGAAAGAAGTGATATGGCCCGGGGCAGCGATGCTGCCAACAGGGCCGGCGAAACAATCAGTGCAAGTGCTGCTGCAGTGGGCGGCGGCGAGATTATCAGTGCTTGTGATTTCTCGGCTGCGGGCTGTGGCGAGGAAAATGGAGACAGCGATCTTGTTGCTGTGGGCAATCATTTCGACAGTGATGCTTTCACTTGTGGACATGGTGAGACAGATTGCCCTGGCTTTTGTGCTGCTGCGAGCGGCGATCGGCAAGCCACGGCATGTATCGCTGCTGGTCCCTCTCTTGATGGCCACATTTGCTGGGAAGAGGTGCACGATGAAGGCAGCCACGGCATTGCTTTCAGCATCTACGACTCCACCATCGACGTTCCTGCTTTTAGGTCTAGGGGGAACCGGACCCAAGAACCGAGAAGAACAACAAAAGATCCGCGTGAGGACAAAGAGTGTTGTAGGGTAGGTAAGGTGTCTGTGTCACGTCGACCAGATGCCGGGGACCGGACCCTAGAACCGAGAAGAAACAATCAAGATCCGCTCGAGGACAAAAAGGGTGAACATGCTAGCTCCACCGGCCCGCCCATGGGCCCCCCGGGGCCTTCAGCCTCGCAGTGCGGAAGCCATGGCAACAGTGTTGGCTTTCAGGTTCCTCCCGCTTGCGCGGCGGCGGCTGCTGGCGGCCAGTTGAGCGAGCACTTCCACCCGAAGGGCAAGTCCACCGACACGTTTCTCGAGGACCTGGAGGGCACGATCACTGGCGACGGCGACGCGAGAGGGCAGCCGTCCCAAGACGACAGCCGCTGGCGACGACTTGATGTTGGCTCCGGTGCCACCTGCATGTGCATCCCTGGGACCCCCCTAAGGTTTAGTCCTGCTGGGTTCCCCGGTACTGCGACGAAGCTGCATCGCAAGAGACTGCCGCCAACTTTGCGGGCTTACACCAAGCCTCGCAAGCGCTTCTGCTGCAGTGTGACAGGCACTCTGCAAATCATGCCAGGGCATCCAGGACAGGGTTCATGTGATCATGTGCGACAGGTTCCCTTGTGCACAACATGTGTTGCTTCTTCTGAACCCTTGCTTGATCCGACTTCCCAATGTTGGTGCTGTGGCGCAACCGGCCGGCCTTATCCGAGGTGTGGTCGGGCACCCTCGAAAGAGAGCGAGAAATCCCACCAAGGACAGGTCAGGACCTCTGCTGCCCGCACGGATTTGCATGATGCCTCTTTTCTTGAAAGTGCCGAAGCTAGCCTGAGGTGCGGTCAAGATTGGTCGAAAGATCCTAGCATATCCCACCGAAGGATCGCTGAAGCAGATTGTGCCATCTCGCATGAATCCCAATCCGACAATACCCAGTCTTCTCCTGCTCTGGCTCCCTCTGCTGCTGCAGGTCGCAAAAATGGTCGAAAACCTGCAACATCCTTGCAAGCGCCCCGCCGATCCTCGTCTGGAGGCTGGCTCCTGCGGTGCACCACTTTTCGTGATTGTGGTCAGGCTGTGTTAGGCTGTTGCAACTGTGAGCTCCCTTTTGCATTTTGGAACCCCAGCCGGGGCAACCAGCACGAGGGCAACGCAGGAGAGAGAATCATTGAAGCAAGCCACCCAGGGCCGAGTTTCGATTGCAAGCGGCAGCTCCCAGCACTGAAAGCGTACACGAAGCCTCGGAAACGCTGCTGCCGAAGGGCTACAGGTTTTTCGGTCAGTACCCAGTGCCGTGACTGCAAGCGGCCTTTCCCAGCGCAGTGTGCTTATGTGAAACCCCGTAAACGCTTTTGCCACAGCGTCGCTGGTACCCTGCAGTCGAGGACTGGACACCAACAACAGAGCTTGTCTAATCAGGTGCCGCCGGTTCCCCTGGTCCCCTTAGGGTGTAGTCCCTCTTGGTCCCAGGCGAGCTTTGAGCGCAACGCATGTGTTACATCTTCAGCCCTTTTGCTTGATCAGACACACAAGTGTTGGTGCTGTGGCGCAACTGGCCAGCCTGGTCTGAGGTGTGGTCGAGTCTCCTCGAAAGAGGGCGAGAAATCCTGCCAAGGACGGGTTAGGACCTCTGCTGCCTGCACGGACCCACAGAACGCTCCTTCTCTTGAGAATGCAGTGGCCAGCCCAGGGTGTGGTCAAGATTGGTTGAAAGACCCTAGCATATCCCGCCGAGGGTTGGCCATAACGGCTTGTGCAGCCTTGCATGCACATCACCCCGGCAATACCCAGATTCCTTCTGTTCTGGCCAACGATGCTGCTGCAGGTCAAGAGCGTTCGTCAGAGCCCGGAACATCCTCAGCAGCACCCTGCCGATACTTGTCGCGAGGCTGGCTCTTGCACTGCCCCACGCTTCTTAATTGCGGTCGGACTGTTGCCAACTGGTGCGCCTTTGGTTTCAACTTTACAGCCTACATACCCAGCCGGGGTAAGTGTCACGATGACAAAATTGGGGAGCGTATCGGAGAAGCCAGCCATCCCGGCCCGAGCTGCAACCCTACTTGTGGTCACAGTCTGCGCACTCCCAGCCTGGAGCAGTGCCATAACGACAAGGTTGGCGCCCGAATTGGAGAGGCCAGCAACCCAGGACCTGGTTTCGACTTAGGTGGTGGCTTTGCCGATGCACTCAAGCAGCAAATCATGCAGCTTGTACAGGAGGCAGTGCAAAAGATCCTAGCTGATCTTAACTTGGGCTCTCTGTTGGGAGGGCACACTCAGGCGCCGATTGCAAACAGCCCTTTTGCTCCTCTGCTTCCGAATGCTGCTGTGGCCGGTGACAGTACCTTGCCCAAACCTCGTAGGAAGCGCAAAAAGAAGGGGCAACAGCCCCCAGCAGAGCAGCCGGAACCCCAAGGGAAGGCCAAAGGTAAAAGCAAGCACAGAGGCGGAGGTGAACAGGCCCAGACTCCCCCTAAGCCATCTCTTGAGGCCCCTGCGACTCATTCCCGAGGCAAGGGCATTGGCATCACACCGGAGGATGCCAAGGCTGGCTGGGTCACTGTTGGCCCAAGAGCACGACCGAAACCCAATGAAGAATTCTGCTTAAGAGCACAAGATTGGAATCAGCCCCTCCTTGATCCCACAAAGTTCGCTGAAAAGCTTGAGGCGATCCCACAGGGTGAGAAACTGACAGGCGTGATCTTATGCAACTCTGAGCAGGCTCAGCTTATCAAGGCCATGGCAGCTGGATGTACCAAGGCTTATTCCGTCACTCTGGTGTGCCTCGATCCTGCGGGAACCGCCCGGGTCCCAGGCCTTGTGAAGGATCAGCTGCAATTCCGCAAAGCCACCACGGGCTTCCTTCGTTCTGATCCGACAGATGCGGTCCCGGCACCTAAGGGTGCCAAGCCCACTTTTGCCGTTGTTCGCAAGCCCTCGGTGGTCCTGCATGCGAGGATCCCGAAAAGCTTTGCCACCGAAAAGCTTTGGGCTGCTGTTGCCAAGACACCCTCCCGTGTCATGATGCAGTGGATGGCAGACCACCATGTCAATGTGCTGGACGCCTGGGGCTGGAAGGAAGAACGCCTCGCTAAGGACCTCCAGCTGTATGGCCTTCTCAGGGTCAGCGAAAGTGACTTGAAGCCGGTGCTTGCGCTTTCTGGCATGGACGGCATCTTTCTTGAATGCGCCAAGAATAAAGAAGCACCGAAGCTTCCCACCAAAATCACTTGGGTTGAACCTAGCAAGGGCGAGGCTCCGGGTGAATACCTTGCTCGCATGCGGCGTTCGGCTGGGGACCTGGGTCTCGCACATCGTGGAGGCAAACTCGGCCAAATTGCACCACTTGCCGACGGCGAGCCCATTGCGAAAATCTGGTCGGTGCCGTGGGTCCCAGCCGATTGGACTGTCGAGCAGGTCACCGACCTGCTAAAAGCCTCTTTCACAGAAATCGCCATGCTCAGGCAATTGCGCAAGAAGCTTCCAAGGTGTTCTACTTTCGTGCTGCAGCCAAGGAGCCAGACCGGGATCTCATTCCCCTCCCGGCCAAGGATGGCGACACTGAGTTGACTTTGTGGGCCGCGGTTGCACCTCCGCGCACCCCGGTGCGACAGCAGAG